CCCCAAAACCCCAAAACCCCAAAACCCCAAAACCCCAAAACCCCAAAACCCCAAAACCCCATGGCAAGCCTGATAAATGGATGAATTAGGTTTTAAAAAATCTTTTAAAAAATTTACCTAAATATCCAAGATGGAATCTAAACCAAATAAAAAAGCAAAGTAAGTACTACAGGGCAAACTTGGGGAGATTTAGTAGAGTCAGATGACTCTTGAACAAGTACTTCAGCTTCTTACCACCAGGAACTTCAGAAATACTAACTTTTGTAACATAGATATCCAAGAAAAGTCAAAGGAACTGTGAAGCAAATCCAATCAGGAGATAGCATTATTATTACTAAAAAGAGTAAGTGAAGCTTTAAGACTCTAAGACAACTTGGCTATGATCCTTTACTGCTTTCATGAAGGCTAACATATGACTGTAGATAAGAACGGCAACACTGTGGATCATACATTTTACTTAGCAAGCATCATGGCTCCAAAGGTAGGAACTCCTCAAAGAGATGAAGAGCCTTATGCCTATGATGCAAAAAAGTGGCTCATGGAGAAGGTTGCAGGTGTCAAAGCTGAGTTCCTTGTTGAGTATGAAATCAACGGAAGAGAGTGTGGAACTCTATTCATCAAAGACAAAAATGTTAACGTTGAGATAGCTAAAACTGGATTTGTTAAGATTCATGAGAAAAAGAAAGAAGGTATGCAGTCAAGCAAATTCTATCCTGAAATCGCTAAAGCTGTTGAGGAAGCTAAGAAAGGACTAGGAATGTACAATGAGGGAGCAGATCATGGAAAGCATATCAGACAGCTAGTTTATTCTAATACACCTGAGTTTGATGCTGAGGCTGTACTCAAGAAGAGCATTGATGTTGGAAAACCATTTAAGGCATATGTTGAGTATGTATTTTCCCAAAATGCAGTCAATGTTTATGTTGAAACTCTTTCTGTTGTAACACGTGTTGCTTTCAATCATATCTACACTCCAGGTCAGGAAAGAGCAAAATGTGTTGAAGCTAAGGAATTGATCGAGAAAATGATTCTAAACAGAGTTGTTGGAGTAACCTTCCAAAGACTTGATGATCATGGCAATCTTGTTGGTCGTATCCATCATAAGAATGGAGATATTGATTACGAATTGGTTAAGAGAGGATTGTCAAAAGTGCTTATTCCTCAAGAAGATGGTTATGATAAAGCTCATTACAAAAAGCTTAAGGATGCTCAAGATATTGCTCAAATTAACCAAGTTGGTCTTTGGAAATCTTTGAAAGAAGAAGAGAGCAAGAAAAAGACTAAGTCTTATGATCCAAAGAAGAAGAACTTTGAAGCAAAAGTTGTGGAAATTCATTCAGGTGATTCTCTAACTGTCCTTCCAGAAGGAGGAGAGGAAAGAAGAATCTTCTTAGCTTCTATAAAAGCTCCAACAATTGCTAGAAATGATTCAAGCGATCATGAGCCATGGGCATGGGAAAGCAAAGAGTTTATGAGGAGACAGGCTATTGGAAAGAAAGTCAAAGTTGAAATGGAATTCCAAAGAGAAATTGAAATAAAGAAAGGTGATCTCCAAGGCTCCAAACGTATTATGGAATTCGCTACTATTTTCATTGGTAAAAAGAATCTTTCAGTTGAAATTCTTCAATAAAGGATTCGCTAAAACATCTCTATCTAAGTTCAGAGAAGATAATTCTAAATACTTTGAAGACCTTATGGCTGCAGATACTCATGCATCTACTAAAAAGCTAGGAGTGTACTCTAACAAGGAGGCCAATATCTACAGATTCATTGATACATCAAGAAATTCCAAAGCAGCAAAGGCTATTTACTCCTCAATTTCAGCTAAGCCAGTACTATATGGAGTGGTAGAATACTGTTTTTCAGGCCAGAGGTTCAAAATCAGAGTAGATTCTGAAAACTGTTCAATTGCTTTCGGTCTTATTGGAGTAAAAATTCCTCAGCCAGATGCAAACTCTCCAACTCTGACTAATATCAGTGAGTTGGCTAAGAATTATGCCAAGAATGTCCTCCATCAAAGAGATGTAGCCTTGAACATCAAGTACATGGATAAAAGAGGATCATTCTTAGGAAACCTATGGATGCTGAGTGGACCAAAAGCTAAAGGTGACCATTTCGGTAAAAATATCCTCAGAAAAGGATATGGCAACATTCAGGAAGATAATGTAGACAAAATAGGTAAGTCTGATAGCATTAAATTATAGATGATTATGAAGATCTTGAAGAAGCAGAGAAAATTGCTGCTGGAGAGCAACTTGGAGTTTGGCAACCAGATGTCTCAGCAAGAATGACTCTCGCTACTGGAGACGATTATGATGCTATCACCGATGATATTATGTCTGGAACCGTCGTTGATATGCAAGATGCTTCAAACTTTTACATCAACCTCTCTAAAGATCAAGAAAAATTAGAAATAATTTCTAAGAAGCTTTCTGAGTATGATGACTCTTCTCATGAAGTTCTCTCTCATCCTATCAAGAATGGTACTATTTGTGCTGCAAAGTTCAAAGATGATGGAAACTGGTACAGAGGAAGAGTTGATAGCTCAATTCACTCAAACGATGAGCATCTCTATGAAATCTACTTCATGGACTATGGAACTAAGAACGATATCTCTATTGATAACTTAAAGAAGATTGATGACGATCTCATCCAATATCCACCACTTGCTCATAGATGTACTCTCGCATACTTGAGTGTTCCAAAGGGCAGCCAGACTTTCGGAAATAATGCCTCTGAGATGTTCAAAGAACATCTTTGGGGTAAAGAATGCTCTATTTCTTTCTATGACGAAGATGATTATCAGTATTATGTTGTTATCAACAGTGGTAAAGAAGCTAAGGTTAATGAATCCATCAATGCTTACCTCTTAAACGAAGGATTTGCCAAGATCACTAACCCTGAATCTCTCCCTGAAGAACTTATGGAATGGAAAGATTACGAACAAGACGCTAAAGATGAACAATTAAACATTTGGGAAATTGGTGGAGTTGATGACCAACAAGATTAAATAGAAATAAATAATTATTTCAACCTCCCACCACAATGCCTGATTCTATCCAAAAATACAACATTCAATCACTATTCCCCCATACGGGGTTTTGGGGTTTTGGGGTTTTGGGGTTTTGGGGTTTTGGGG